CGTAAAGAGGAAATACCAAGTTTAATAAGATCATCATAAAATTGGTACCCCTGATAAACAAGTTAACTGAGAGATATCCTAATCTGTTAACCTAATGTGTTAGCATGTGTGAATCGCTGAAACAGATGCAGAAGTGTGTCTTACCCATAAAAGAATCGGAATTTTGCAAGCACGAGAGGTAATCAGTCTAAAATCAAAGTCATTGTACATGAGAAAACAGACAGAAGCGAATCTTCGCGAACAAACCATGTACGCCATGTATTTGTATTTGTACGCCCCAAACACATAACCAAAAATACGGAGAATATAAAACGCTGAAATTAATTTACTCGGCAACATTGCACAAAGTTAATATAACATTTACACTTAAGTAACTATGACAGCACAAATAGTTAAGAACGACTTATGAAGAAATCAAAAACCATGAGAAGGTTTCATCATTGGGAAAAGTCCATAAACATTTACGGTTCTATCCATAAATACGAAACGCACCTCCGCCCAAACCATATGAAATTTGCACAGGATGTTCAAAATTTCAAATAAACATGATAAAACTAATAACCATCATTTAATACCAACAATGCATTAATATCTTCCTCAACACGCTAATAAAGCTTACGACAACCTGAATACTAAATTCAAAGCGTCGATAACTCGGCGGCAACTATTGCGTCAAATAAACGTCAACCTATCAGTGCTTAACGTTTGTCGCATCCTGTATAACATAGCCATACGCCAAATTAGGTTTAAGCTATATATCGAGAGCGACATACATCGGAATGTCATGTTCGATATGGCCTACATAGCCGGGATGCCTGCCAACTGATACGATACTGATGTATAGTATTGCGTAAGACTCGCGTATGTTGAGCGGATTGCAAAAAGTGCATATGCGACCAGTAGGGGGAACGAAATTGTAACAACTACAACAACAAAACAAGCAATTATGAACTCAATGTGTAAGGGGTTCGCGTTAATCTAATGGTAGCAACATATAGCTAAAAATCAAAGGGTCGTGAATTCAATCTCTACCGAGCCCAACATGTTACTAGTTAATTATTTATAATGTTTCTGAAACATCTTGTGGAACAGACTTCGTGTGGAAATTTCGATATTAAATTGTTAGAATAAATATGGAAATACCGTGCGTCGTGCCGTCCGCTTTAATCGCGTCTCCAGTTTGTGGATTTCCGAAAATCCAAAGCCAAAATACCTAAATACCACCTACCATCAAGTTAACCACAAGTTTACTGTTGCGCTCTATCATAAAACTAATTACAAAAGTAAGTTTGGTCAAGCACGAACATAGATATATTAAAAGGAAAATCACGAATATTTTAAATTAAAAACTGTCCCTTTGAATATCATTTCAAAACTCCGGTCGTCGTTCGCTTCTTTTTATACCTATCAATACCAAACTAGGGATCGTGAAGAAACTCGACAAAAACACGCATTACGGAAAGAATACAAGCCCTCCCACTTCCCTTCCCCACAATCAATCAGGCCGGCGCCAGTTCTCAGCCCGTATTGAAAACTTTACTATTTAACATCCCATCTTATTTGAATCAAAATTAAGTTCGGTGCAACAGTATACGTAGTACGTACACACAGTGGCGAAATCGGAAGAGAAGTTTCGGCCTAAAGTAACATACTGGTAAATTAAATAATTTAGGCCTACAAAACAAAATATTGTTACCTAAATTTTGGTAATTTAAGACAGTAGTGCTACTGTGTAACCTTTGGAAATAGACCAGATGAGTCTATGAAAGGTTTTATATCCACTGTTAATTCTGTACACTATGGTCCCATCTCTGGATCAAGACAAAGTTTCCCATTGTGCTAGTGATGTGCCTCACATCGGCAACTAAATAAAAACTGAATAAAAGAAAAGAAATGAACAATTCAAAACTTCTCTGGTTCTTTTGTTCGTCAAGACTCAAGTTTAAGAACTTCACTAATGTATTTCTTCGAGTGGTAGCAGATCTATGGCCCCTAAAATTGAGAGCTTGTTTTGCTTCTCTCGAACACTTCTATTCCATATTCCATTGTTATATTTTGTGAAAAAATCGTGAATATCTCGTGTGGGATTCATGATTTACAAATTTACATAAACGAAAGAGTAAGTTGCTTTCTTTTAAAATGAGTTGTCATCGTCCAGTGTTACTCCCGTTAGAGATTAGCCAGATAACAGACATACGGTCGGATATACCTTATATTACGACCGTTACTTTCATTTTTTTAAATATAGAGGACGACAGACACGTTGGTTCACTTCATGGCAAGTGATATTTCACACTGGGGTATTCTTTGATATTTTGACTTTGGATATTCGGAAATCCACAGACTAAGAACGAAAAAATTGAAAAAATAAGAAACTTGTGGAGCCGGTGGGGATCGAAAATCATTATACCAAAACGCCCGTTAAACATTTAAACCGACCGACACTCTGCTTTTATCCATGCGTGGATTTGAGACGAAGCCCTGCTACGAATTCAGCCATAACGCCAGTCGCTAACAATATTAATGCATATCGATGTTTCATTAAGCCGATGTCGATTAAAGACGATAGTCGAGTCGAATCTCACGGCGTCGCCAGTCCGATTCTATTAGCCGATAGCAACTCCATCTTGATAGCGGTTGAACCTTGTGAGAATATTATTTCGAATTGCGGCTATCACTCGGTGCCTGCGTCGTTTTGCGCTTGAATAGTCACTCCTCATTAGGAGACAGACGAAGAGTATATACAGTTTTATCATTTCGTACTTGTTAACTGGCTTATATTATATCACTCACTAATATGTGGTTTAAGACATTTATTTACGCAAGAAATACATTTTCACTTAAGCGTAAACACAATATTATACGTTACATAATATTATATGCGAGTAGGTACGAATTTACAAATATAGTTTGGTTTGAAATGGTTCTCTGTTAGCTGTAAATCTGCTTTTTAATACGTTAATAAATAAATAATAGATACTGGATTATAAGATGGTGCAACCTTGTGGATATTGTATTTTTTTCTTTATTTAATCTTTTTTATGTTGTTAACAATATAATGTTTTAAATTAGTTTTAAATAGTTTGTATGATTTAATTTCTTTAATAGTTTTGGGTAAGTGATTATAGATTTTAGGCCATCATACAGAATGTTATTTTTACCATAGTTAGTGGTGGCTTGTATAGATTTAAGTATTAGGTTTTTAGTTGAATTTTTTGAATTTGTTGATTTTTATGAAATTTTATTTGTGTTGAGATGGTCATTTAAATTTTGGTAAAGTATAGAAGTAGTATAAATATAGGTTGATTGATAGTATAAGTCGAGTCTATTATAAATCGTATTAAAGTTAAATAATGTAATGGAATATTTTTATATTTATTTTGAAAATTTGTAATATTTAGATTTGTTTTGGTGTTTTGTTATATGGCTTTTTTATTCAAATTGCGAAGAATTGCTGAAAAACTATCAATTCCAAAACCAGCACACCGGCATACGCGAAGACACCGTACAGTCAATTCTGCAAGGACCCGGCCCGTTTCGCCAAATACCAACTTCGACGGAACAGGTGGCGCTAGCGTGGCAGTTTTGACTTAGACATTAGAGACACCATAGGTACACCTATGGTCTCCCCGTGACCACGGCTGCTGCGAAGCATCCGGAACGTCGGGCCCTAGTTAAAATCGTTTTTAAATAAGTTTTACTAATATATTACGCATTTTAAACCGTTACAGCGTTTTATTTATATGTGTACTACTCGCGCAAACTACATACGAATGACTGTGAAATTTACAAAAATACAATTTATTATCGTGATAATTAGAGCTTCGAATTTAAAATTAAATTCCCATTGCATAAAAGAACATATTTATTTAATGTTAACGAATCCCAAATATGAATAATTATTTATTCATTACAATCATGGCGCAAATCCTAGTGAGAATTATTGCTGAAATAAATATTATAATATTATAATTAACGAAAGTAAAATAATTAATTAAATTGTTTAGTCTTTAAAATATCAAGGCTAATGCGTAAAAAGTGCTAATGACTAAGCTATATGGTAATTCGTATAGATTTATCGTTTTCGTCTGCACTACTTTTAATCTTATGTTTTAAAGATTCGATAAAGAGATAATATTTCAAAATGCACGGCGGTATTATTCAATGAAGGTACTTGAGATTACACATTCTTAAAGGGATAGAACGAAAAATCGACATGAATTCCTTAAGATAGCTACGCGGGTGGCTGTCTTGAGCGTTCCCGGGAATAGAATAAGCCTCGTTCAGCAACAAAGTTCCGAGTAAAGAAATAAACATTAGCTAACAACAGTTCATTCAAAACAATGATTTTACGGCATCAACACTAACGGCTTACACAGGGAAGAACAACATTGTAGGGTTGGCAAAACGGAGAATCGTATATTTAATTTCCTGCTTAATCAGACCAATATTATGAATGCGGAAGCTTTCTATTGATTCAACGATTCGCGCGTCTTTTCTGGTTTTACATTTTACTAGAGATATCTCTTGTTGAGAGATATTAAAGTAAAAATATTATTTTGAAGGGTGGCAACGAATCGCCCCGCGCAGACCCTATCTCAGTGCGCCATGGCCCCATAACAATTCGGATAGACGGGCAGCATGAAGCATCCGATCCGCGGGTTTTTATTACAAACGAATGAAACAGCTCGGAAAGGATGAAACTTTTACGCCGTAAACGATTATTTAACTTTAAGAGGCACTAACTAAAATTTACGATAACGATTAATTCGCGGAATTGCCGAACAGTGCCGAGCCAATTATTAAAATTGCTCTCTGCCAAAAATTATATTCGAAACGGTCTCAAAACAGACATTTTCATTTGAATATCGGACGCTCGCAAAGTTTCGCAACGAGCCAACGGCTAAGTTTTAACGTTAACGCCTCTTGGCTTGTTTGAACGACCATCTATCTTATCATAGCATTTGCCTCTCATCTTTTTAACATGGTGCCACGCTCACCTGGGCTTGTGGTAGGTGGGGTTGCTGTTCGTCTTGAGGATGTCCGCGTTGGGCACGGACGTCGGCAGAGCATGTTCTCTTTCCAATTCGCTTTCATAGCTCTCTAGTGGAACGTGCTTGCCGGGCAAGGGGTCCGCTGCAACAACAAAAGGCAATATTAACAAGTGTACATTAAAAACACACAAGAAGAGTACATAGTACAACCACAGGCTGGATTTGAACCCACGTCGGTCAATCTCTCTGCCAATGCTACACTTTTCTAAATTACTGTTGAACTCTGACAACTCCTCTCAAATATTTGAACATGTTTAAATTATAAATATTGAAATTGTATAATATTTACATGGCCCATTAAATTATGTTTGCGATTTGACACTAGACAAACGATTTTGAGTCAACATTCACACTCTCATTTGATACTGTTATAGTAGTTTGTTTATCATTCCAAGAAGTAGGTCGGTAAACAAAGAGTTCTACTAAGTCCGTCCGTACAGTCCGGTCGCCTGCGAACAATTCTCTTTATCAATTATCGTCAACTATTTGATAACCCGTGGGAACTGTAAACGGCTGGCTCTGTTTTGATTAGGCGCTCGCCTATGATATGACCCGAAAAGTATTACTTTTTTATGTAGTTTATTTTAAAATTTCAACACTTGTTCTTTGGTAAGACGTTATGGTGGTTATACAGTAGGGAGTAGAGTGTGAAATCAATACGAAGGTCTGTAAGTGTATTCAATAAAATACGACCAAAGCGAATGCATTCATAATTTGGCAGCGAGGCGAAATTTAGCAGTTTCGGCAAAAGCGCGCAGCTGCCGTTGCGAGGCGAGAGAAGCGGTCGCGGTGCAAACTTTTAAACGATGTAACAAGCCCCGCTATTTGTTAAGCCTTTAAGCTGATTCTACGATCGATGCTGCTTTGGCCAAACCATCGGAATATACATGACACGACATGGGCATTCAATTCTAGTAGGCACCTACATTAATATTGATTGGTGAGCGTTTATTTCATCGTTGAAAATAATAAAAAATTATATTAACTACGGCCCAATGATAAAATTATTTGTAAATAAGATAACGAATACATTTCGCGTTTTAAAAGCTTAAAAGTATTTAATAAAATGTGTCCTACTCGCTTAAATTACCGGCAAGACTTAATGTAGAAGTGGCTTTGCATTTCCTCATTCTTTCGTATACTATTCCTAATTTAATCTATCGCATATTCTATCATTGTCTAATATTGTCTATTCTTTCAATTACTTCGACAAAAACTAAACTAAAGGTATAGACAAATAAACTCGTATACCGAAGTACCGAACAATTTCACGGCAACTTATTTTCACGGGACCCTAATTACAGCGGCCCACAGAGCATTCATAAAAACACTAATTTTAACGTTAATTTAACACAAAACGGTAAGTTTTACGTTAAATTAACACAAAAACAGTTGCAATTGGAAGCGGTAATATCGGTGAGTCACGTTCAACGCTGACTCAAAGTAAATCAAACAAGTGCGGTTTACATATTAGAACCTACGAGTTTTTACAATTTCACGCGTGTAAAACTTACTCACTCGCGTATTCTCAGAAGGAAAAGTGCGGTTAATATCGACAATGACTTTCGACTATTACTCATTGCAGACGCGGGCGTGGTTATTAGGAAAAAACGTGAATACCGATCGGCAATTTCACCGCTATACTTTTTGTGAGTTAGCAATAATTAAATGTCGAGATGGCTTTGTGAGCAATAATAAAACTTATTACGAAACATCCCCGATTTGCATTAACTGTAGAATATCAATTAAATTTAGCGCTGACTCACTGCGTTGATTAGGGTTGGCACTCCAAAGTTAGTCGAGTTCACATTTATATGTAACATACACCGAACTCTGGATTAGGTTATACAACCCGATACAATTAATCGTAAGGTAAGTCTTATTTTCAGTTAGAACGATCGATAGAAACACTACGAATATAATGTAGCCTTGGCATGTCTATAGTCAAATTTAAATATAGAAAATCAAATAGTTTTCATTTCTTTGGGTGACAACCCTATTGACCACGACGCCGCAGCACCGTCCACCCGCACGGTCTAACGGAACACTTCAATTAAAGCTCAGACAGAAAGCACTGTTTTCGCTTACTTACTTACTAATTGAACTGACTTACGATTAATTGAATAATCTGTGCTACAATTGATTGGTTATTAAGCTCGATCGGCGTTCGGAGTTCGAGCGCTATAGAGTCATTCACGAGCGCGGAATTCATTTATTCGTCATTTCATTTCGGAAAAATAATCTCGAATTCACGACTATGAAGACGATGACGTGATAATTGAATCCCATTATTAATTATAATATTTAAAGAGTAATGGAATCGAATAAACGTTATCTGAAAAGGATGTATACAGTAGGTACGTACGATACCAAATACTTGGATCTAACATTTCTCGGCTTTCCCTTAAGAAGTAAAATCGAACAAAAACACAAGTCTTGTAAACAAACGCTAAAAAACAAATGCAAATTCTGCGGATACCTTTTGAAATATTCGCAGACTATTTGCGTGGTGAAATGGACATATAAATTATTTGTAGACTTTCCCGCTTTTCCCGGAATATATTTCCACGACTTGCTCGATACGAGATGCTGGCTCTCGAGGAGTACTCGCAATGGTTTCTACTAAGAGATGTAATTAAGTAGAACCCGACGGTGCATGAATAAGTCTACGCAGACTAGTATATTCTTATAAGCTGTAAAAGGATGGAGAATTTCTCAGTTCATAGAGTCGATTCATGTTTTTTCGTTAACAGAATAATCTACCCACCCAACTTTTTATATATAAAGTAGGTAAAAGTTTGCAATCCTAGAAACATGTTCTACAATAAATACAGCGCAAAATTAATTTCACGACTATTTTGAAATACACGAGCGAAAACATAATATTAAAACGAGTTTTTAAGCCCCAAAAAAGCGTGTTAAGCTATTGTACCTTTTGGCGAGACAAAGTACAATGAAATTATAAGCAATTGTCGGCTCCTAAGTTACATAACAAACAGAAATACAATAACAACTTGACCCTTATTCAAATGAGCTGAAATCGTAACGAATACGAATAATTTTAGATTTAATATTACCCTGAAATTTCTTAGAGGCAAATAAGGCTTGTTATAGACGAACGGCAAATTATGTGAACGTTCGTAATTCGTATAGCCCACCGTTGTTTCTGAAAGCATCGGTTGATAAATAAATGTTTTAGAAATTAATCTCTAGAATTAGTAAGTAAGAAGTAATTAAAATATAAGCGTATATATAACACCGTGATCATTTTAGGTCAATTAAAATGGCCGCTGTTCTTTGTTTCCACGAAGGGAAACTTATGACAAAACAATAGCAAAATCGTTTCGTCCCCAGCGAGTCCCCGCCCGTACACGCGAAACCTACTCCGAATTAATATAAAGATATTTTCCTCGCTTCGTCCTTCCGAAAAAATTCCAACATTAATTTTCCTTACGAATCGACAGTCGGCTTATTGTATTTTTCTTCATTGATTTCATTCGATTTGCCCTTTAGCTTAAGGTAAATATCTTTTCTCTTTTCGTCAACTCGGTGTCCCCGGTTATCTTTCTGAACCACTTAACAAGATTTGGCTATTAGCGAGCCCCCTCATTGCGACGCTCATATTTTATCCTTTTATTTATACTGTGCGATTTCGTGTTGATATTCTGCGTATTAAATAATGTTTTTCTTATCTCTGCGAGTTTTCCTTATGAACGTCGGCGATTTATTTGTGGCATTTTCTTTGGTAATTCGGGATATGATTCTCTTTATTTACGTCTACAATTTGCTCAATACTTCTAATTGCTATTTAACAATCTTTTCAGTTACAAGTAGATACTGGCGTACTGACACGTGAGAAGTATATATTTGCTCGTTCAAACTTTGCATCTGCGGTGAAGCAAAACGTAAACTTAGGTTAAACGACTCACCGCAACTCATCAGCGTTGTAAAAGTTGAATCCTGTCTCTCGCTTAATAATACAGACGTCAGATAATGTCTGTCTATCTGTTACAACGTGCAGATGACTTTAAAACCTTTTCACCCGCCTGTAAGTATGAAAAACGTGACTTCACAGTACAGGAATATTTCAAACGAAAATATACGACATAATTGAGCCGGAGTAAATGTCAAAGAACGTCGCGAAACTTTATTTCCCTGTTCAATCAATCGTTAAATCCTTATTTATTGTCCGTTGAAGTAAAAAGAGTTTTCAAACATTATAACGAGTGGAAGTTCGGATTCTCGCAAGATTCATCAGATCCATTTATTAAAACTTTGTAAATAGCGGAGTTCGTAACTTTGCCGACTAAGATTGTGTTTTTAAATTACGCCGACCGTCTAATCTTAACTTTAACAGCAATACATTGCGATTCTTATACCACCTCCTTAGCCCACTGCAAGCCACGTTGCCAGTTGGTATTATAACTAGAGTTGGAATCCACATTTACGGTCGGGTGACGGATACTTACGAAATTATATAACATCGATCAGAGAATAGACACAGAAATGTCTGACCCAGGCCATATTTAACAGATGATGCATTTGAAACACGTTATTTGTGGTCTACGGGTCTGTATGACACATTTTGAACAAATACTTGTACGCTTCCGTACGCGTGGAATATTCGCTTCTAGTCACGCCTATTTCTATGAGAATTGCATTAAACTCGCGTGTACCGGTTATTGAGTATGTAATATCAGAAAGGGAAGCTCCTGCATCCGTCGCTAAAAATACCCGACACTTCATAAGTTATGTCCCTAAGTGCCACTTCTGGGATTAGATCGCTTCGGGAAACATATTTTAAATATGAGCTGGGAAATTCCGACATCGCATTATTTCAGCTCTTACGTCGGTCACGTCGTCGGAGTTATTTAGATTTTTGGATTGACTAATGAATTTTATTCAATTTTTCATATCTACTGAAAATTGCAAAAAGCCTTGAAATATGTTAACGTATATCTTTTATTAAGATAGTCGATAAGATAGCAGTCTAATATTCTCAAGATTAATAATAAAAATTATTTTAATTTTACTCAACTTTCTTTTCGCAGTAGAAATGATTAAGTTGCCAATAAAGTGACG